AAAAAAAAAAAAAGGCTCATTTGGGTTTTTTTTTTTTTTTCTTCTTCCACTTGGATTTTTGCTTAGCCAAGTAAAATTTATTGACGCAAGTTCTTTTTTTTTTTAATGTATTTGTCTGTTTTCTGTTATGTGGGCGCTTGCATTTTTTCTTTTTCTTTTTTTTTTGGTTTTTGATTTCTTTTATCTGAGTTGATGCTGTTCTCTTATTCGTTGACTCTCGTTTTTTTTTTCTTTCTTCTTTTTGGATGAATCCTCTTTGAATATATTTTTTCCCCCCCCTTTTTTTCTTTGTTTCTTTTTCTCTTTTTTTTTCTTTTTGTTTCCACTCTTCAGCGGCATTTATTATTATTTTTTATTTTTATTTTTTCTCCCTGTGGTGTGGGTGCCCTTTGAATCTCTGCGTAGCCAAAATTCTTTTTCCATACCTCCGCCTGTAGAGGGAGCCACAACGGGACGAGAACTTTAAATGCCGTCGGATCCCACGTTGGAGGACAATCAAGACGCCGTGGTGGCACACACACCGCTGGGAGAAGACCCGGAGGAACGAAATGATGATTATGATGATTCCGTGAATGAAGGAATACCGCCGGTGGTGCTGCGCCTTCGCGATGTGGAGAAGTCGTACACCATTGAAGGCACGGACGAACGTGTGGTGGCGCTGCGCGGTGTTTCTCTCTGCGAGGAGGCGACTGTGAGCGGCGGGGAGGGCCGGCGGGGGTTTGCGCCCGTCCGCCGCGGGGAGTTTCTGATGATCCGCGGGCCCAGCGGCGGTGGAAAGACAACACTGTTGAATATCATCGGCACGATTGACAGTCCCTCCGGCGGGACGGTGGAGTTGATGGGAACCGTGATTGACAGCAACACACCAGACAATGTGTTGGCGGACTTTAGACTACGTAAGATTGGATTTGTCTTCCAGACATTTAATCTCATCTCCACCATGACGGCAATGGAGAATGTGGAGTTGCCCATGACTTTACTGGGGAAGTTATCTAAACAAGAACGGCGACTTCGTGCATTTCAACTACTTTCACTTGTAGGTTTACGAAATCGTGTAAACCATCTGCCATCAGAACTTAGTGGTGGAGAACAGCAGCGAGTTACAATTGCACGGAGTTTAGCCAATAATCCATCACTGTTGTTGTTGGATGAACCTACTGGAGATTTGGATACATTAAACACCATTGAAGTAATGGATTTATTACTGCGTCTCAACCGTATTACCAAGACAACGTGTATTATGGTAACACACAATCCAGATGTAGAGTGCTACGCTGACCGTATTTTATATGTGCAAGATAGTCATTTTGTTAAGGAAGTGCGAAACAGCAAACCACAGCGGTTGGTCTATGAAAAATATGTAAAAAATCTTGAGAAGAGGCAAAATCAGTTAACAATAGCCTTAAGTCTCGATGATGATGATGATGATGATGATGATAATGGGGGAACTGATGTGGAGAACCTTGAAGGATTGTGAGTTTATGTGCTAATAATAATAGTTTAAGAGTTTTTTTTTTCTTTTTTGTTGTTTTCAGCTTCGGTTTTATTTGCCTTTATATACTTATATATATTATATATATATATATATATATATGTATATATCTATATATACGTTTTATCTCTTCGTTTACTTTGTGTCCTTCTATACTTCATATAATATGATCTGCTAATGAATCTTTTTTTTTTTTGTTTTTTTTTCTTTTTGGCCATTCCCCCATTTATGTATTTGTGTTTGTGTCTGTGGACTATGAATAGTTCTTTTATCTTATTTATTTTTTTTCTCTCTCTCTCTCTCTCTCTCTCTCTCTCTCTCTCTTTCTTTCTTTCTTAAGGTTGAAAAAGTGAAACGAGAAAACACGGGTCATTTTTTTCTTTCCTTCTTCTTTTTTTGGGTTCTCTTTTACAAAGAATATCAAAATTGTAAAAGTTTTGCTGAAAACCCAGGAAAATTAAAAACAAAAGAAAAACAAAAAAAAAAAAAATAAAAGAAAAAAGAACAACACAAATAAATAATAACCAGGTATTATCAAGACCTGGGAAAATAGAAAAAAAAAAATAAAAAAAAAAAAGAGATACAGTAAGGGAATAAACCACACAAAGAGGCATCCGGTGAAAAGGTTTTGTGTTGTTCCCTTCTTTTTCTTCTTATAAGGCTTGACAAATACAGGAGAGAGGAAATATATCTCATTTCAACAGCTCAAACTGAAATGACCACTCCATCCTCATCCCCATCATCTTCCTCTTCTTCTTCTTCATCATCAGAAACATCATCAGAATCATCATGTGAAGGTAGTTCAACCTCTGCGCCTTGGGTGTCGTCTACGCAGAGAGGTGAAGAAACAGAGGCAGCATTCTCATCATTGCGGGAATCTGATAGTTCCAGAGATAAACATCGAGGACGGCTATCCCAACATGGGCAAAATACATCAGATGCACAAGATCTTTCCCCATCCTTGTCAGACTCCGCGAATGGTGCTGGTTCAAGTGATTGTTGGATTTGTCGAGATGGGATGAGTACTCCAGAAAATCCATTGGTGACTAATGTGTGTACTTGCCGTGGATCTATTGGGTGGGTACATATGGAGTGTATTAATGAATGGGTCTTTTCACAGCGTCGCACAAACTGCCCAAACTGTGACGCTACCTATAATATTGTTTCAAACAGTAAAATACAATTACCACAAACTTTCTCAGAAGAGGTAAAAGTTGTATTTTGGAATTTATTCCTACCTTTTATGATTAAGGCATTAGTACTTTTCCTTGGCATTGCAGTGAACGGTTTTGTTGTTCCATTTGCTATTGGGATTTCATTTTATCACGCATACATATTTAACAGTACAAACGTAGATTCGTATATAAATACTACTATCCCTACTGCTATTACTAGTAATACTACAGATGCGGTTACTGTTATGACTCCCAATGGGTCTTTATTTAATGAGGGAAACGAGAAAATCTCCTCCCATGGTAATTTTACTCATCTTCATTCTGAGAAAGATGGTGAGGTACTTGCTGGGTTTTGGTTGTGGACTAGTGTGATGGTGTATGGATGGATTTGTGTTGTACTCTGGCGAGGTGTGGGTAGTGGTTGGCGACAGTGGTGTTCTATCTTTAATGAAGAGGAACCAGAGGCGGAACCAGAGGCATCTCCCTACACAATGGTGGAATGTATGCATTGGTTTATGGATGGTTGTTTGGAACGAATGGGATGTTCACGTAAAAGTGTAATTCCACGGTTATTTGAATTGGGAGTTCTTATGCCCGTTTCTTTTTTAATTAGCTTTCCGCTTGGAGTAGCGGGATTAATAGGATTCTTAAGCTCAAGTATGCTTATTTGGCGTCTTCGTTTTCCACGAAAAAAGATTAATGATTCCAGACGACGTTTTGAAGAAGTAATGGAGAGAAAAAATGATGCAACGGAATTAGATATACTCTTATGGTTTGGTACATACGTAAGTGAGATGTTATTATTTTCTATTTTAATGTCTGCTTTTGGAGGAATTGTTGTACATTTTGCTATTTCTCCATATTTTATTTCATTTCCATCATCTTTTGAGGATTTCGCAGCGGAACTAACTGTACTTCGTCTTGTACTCTATTGGCTTTTAGGGGCTATATGTTCTATGCTTTTAATGCGTGTAGAGACAAAAATTATTTTTCCTCTTTTCGCACCAGGTGTTGATTTATTTTTCATTCGTAGTGTGAATTTGGATCTTGATGCGGAATCTGCTTATTGGAATTTCATTTTGGTTCAAGTTTTTGATGCTGATCCACTTCGAATACTTACAGATTTTATTCGTGTAAGTATTATTGAATTAACAGCATTATGTCTCTTCCTTCGAATTCCAATTTATACTGCATTTACCGCCCATCAAATATTATTTATGGAAGATACAAATGAAAGTATGTTATCATCATTGTCATCACTTCCTTCTGGTTTTCCAGTCCCTGAGTTTGAGTTTGACTTGAATGAATCCAATCTTTTCTTCCTTCCTAATATGGGAGAACAACAAGAATTATTACTAAAACAATTTTGGGAGTCCAAATTTTCTCTAAACGCGGCTCTTTATTCTCTGGCGATTGGATTTACATTTGTATTTCGTCAATTATTGGGAATATTTTTATGGTTACTTCGACACCCATCATGGATTCGATGGGGATCTAATTTATTAATTGTTATTGGATCAGGATCATTTCTTCTCTGTTTAAAACTCTTCCCTATTACCCAAACGCATCTAAAAGCTATGCGTCCAATTACGGTATGGATGGGACGTCATCTTTTCCATATGGAAGAATTTCTATTTGATGCGGAACGTTTATCTATTCTCGATCGTTGGCTTTGCGGTGATGGACAGAGTGAAGTGCCGGTGCCTGATCCTCCCATTGCAACCTCCTTTGTGCGGCGAGAACGAACATTACCACCAGATTTTGTACTTCCAAAGTATTTAAAATTACGACTCGGTTTATTCTCTGTGATTTTTTTCTTTATTGGTACTTCACTTATTTGGGCAGGTCCTGTTTTAGCCATTACCTTATTACTCTCAGTGGTGCCATACAGTGTACCACTTGTGTGTGGTTCATTGAATCTCTTCTTTTTTGTATTAAATCCTAAACTTTACTTTACTGCAGTCACGGAGTTTCTGATGATATCTGTAGCTATTATCTTTGGATTCTTTCTACAGCCGGTGCTTCTCTGCGCCCCGCTCTTAGACGTATCTTGGCACCAACTTGTGCGAGAGTCCGTGGAGTACTGCGATGATGTCAGGCGCACTGTAGGAGAGTATAAGGGAGAAGTTGACGCTGTTGATGATTAGAAAGAAAGAAAGAAAGAAAAAGAAATAAATAAAATAAATTAAAAATAAAAAAATAAAAAAAATAAACGAATACAAATGCAGAGGAAGGGAGAGGTGTGGTACGTGGTAATGTGTAGGCCTCTCTCTGTGTGTTTTGGGAGCTGATTCATAAGACGAATGAGGAGAAAATGTGCTTGTAAGGAAGAAATTCATTTTCTTCCTTTGCTTCTTTTTTTTTTGAGTTTATATTTAAATGACTCTTCCTTATGTTCGTTTTTGTTTCCCCTTTTTTTCTTCGAAAAGGAGCTATATGGGATATCTGTAAAGGATCTCCTTTACCCCTTTTATCTCTCTCTCTGCCGGAATATTGTTATCGCATTCGACGTACATTTTAAATCTATCTCTTCTGGAGTTTTTTTTTTTTTTTTCGTTTCTGCACAGTGTTTTATTCATCACACCAAACAAAGCAAGCAGAGGAATACAAACGTGCGACACTGACATTTATTTTTTTCTTTTTCGGTTCGACGGTACTGGTGTCGTTCTGATAATGGGGTGATGATCACAAAAAAAGAAGAACGGAAGGGAAGACTACATAAAGAAAAATGAACCATAAAGATTATCATTAGGACCTGGAGGCAGGGAGAAAAAAAAAAATAAATAAAGAACGGAGTAGATCAGAAAAAGTAAGGAGGGGGAAACGATTCTCTGTTTTCTTGCATTCGCGGTTCAACGACTTGCGTCACTATGTTTTTTTTTTTCTTATTATTATTATTATTATTATTATTATTATTATTATTATTATTATTTTCCTCTTCCCCCACCCCACTTCCTTTGCTTCTATAAAAGTACCATGATTTTTTTTTTCTTCTTCTTCTTTGCATGCCATGGCATTACTTCTTTTTGTTTGTTTGTTTCTTTTTTTTTTCCTTTATTATTGTTCTTTTTCGATTTCTTTGCTTGAACTCACATACACTAGGAATACAGCAGGTAACACACCTCCTCAGTTTAGGTGGGATAAGAGGAATAAGGGCGAGAGTCACCTGTTATTATTATTATTATTATTTTTTTCTTATTTGTTTTTACTTCCTTTTAATAGTGTTACCCCAACTGTTGTTGCTGTTGCTGAGATCGTCATGCGACCGCGTCTGTTCCTTTCATCACACCGTTTAATACACTCACTGCTTCCACACATCCTCTCAGCAGGGAGTGGTAATACTACTGGTAGTAGTAATAGTAATAGTAGTAGTGGTTTCTACTATTATTGTTGTTGTTCTTCTTGTTCGGTTAGGGCGTACACCACCACAACACCCCCGTCTGACCCTTCATGCGATTCGACGGAAGTGCTGCAGGTGGAATTGCTGCTGCCCGACGAGGACCAGGCGGACGACGACCATCATTACAACTACAATTCCAATGATGCCAATGGGGATGAGAGAGATCCGGCCAGGAGCCACAAGGACGAGGCGGCGGAGACGATCACCGCCGTGGATTCCTTCGCCCGCGCCAAAGTGGCCAACTTCATCACCCACGCCGTTTCCTCTTCTTCCCCTTCCTCTTCTTCCTCTTCTTCTGTGGAGGTGCGGGCCGTCCAGACGGCTGGCGGGGAGGAGGCGCTCTTCCACGCCCGTCTGCGCCTCCCGCTGCCGGCCGCGTACGGCGAGCGCCACGGCGAGGGACTCGCGCCGGACGCGAAGACGGCGGAACTCGTCGCCGCGATGCACGCCGTGCGGGTGTTGGACGCCCTCGGGCTGCCGCTCTTCCGCCTCCCGGAGCGGCAGCGGCGGCACGCGGCGGCGGCACGAGAGGCCGGGCGGTGGGCCCCCATGCCGGGCGATGCGCCGCGCCCACCAGACACACCATCACCGCCAAGACTACTACTACTATCACCTCAACAACAACAAAAAGGAGGAGGAGGAGGAATAGGAAGGGATGGGCCTTTGGGACAATGGGGGAAACCGATGGGAAATACTAACTTTACAAATGTCACAGCTGCGGCGTTTACGCCAATGCGACTCACTCTCGCTTCTCCATTCTTCCTCGATTATGGGAGTGTGTACCGCATCAAACAATTTTTAGCGTCGTATAACTGTAATATTCAACATTATTGTCGTGTAATACCTCTTCACAAATATGATAGTAAAACACCAGGTGGTGCAGCGTTACCTGTAAAGGATGAAGATAAAATGTTTCTTGTTCAGTTAAGGTTGCCGATTGATAATCGTTTTGGTGAGCGTATCGCATTAGGTAAGGCACCTTTAAAAAAAGATGCTATTGCACTTGCATGTATGCATGCAGAGCTTATTATTGATGCTCTTGGGCTTGCACTTTATCCATCATGTAAGGAAAAACAGAAAGTTCATGCTGAGGAATGTCGAAAGGTTAATCGCTGGTGTAGTGATCCTGATGAGTATGAGTACCACTATGATAAGGTCTCACCACCACCATTGCAACTTATCAAAGATACTTCAACTCCAACTGCAACAGAGGCAGACCCTACAGGTTCTGTAGAATCTATTCTATTAACTCATGCCAAAGCTATTGATAGTTTTACTAATGTAACAGAAGTTCAGTCACTTGTTCCATCTGTCAGACGTGAATTTCTTAATTATATTGCACAGTACCGAAGAGGTACAAGTGAGGTAGCTTCTCCTTTTTTTGTGGAAGTACTTGGTGTGAAGGATCATTACGTGTATCGTGCAACTATAACAGTACCAGTTCCAGTAGTAGGAAAATCAGAAGTATTTAATGAGTCTACAGATTGTCATAGTACTACTAATAGTAGTTCTATTGTTCATCCTTCCTTTGTAGCTATTGGTATTGGTACTTCAGAAATGGAGGCTGAAACAGCTGCTTCAATGCATGCCGTTCGTGTTCTTGAGCTTTTGAATCGTCCTTTAGTTCCAGATGAAAAGATAACTGTAAAAGGAACACAATTAAATCTTACCTCGGATACAGTGATTCCTCCACCTTACCGTTATGTTGTATGTCACATTGGACGAATTATGGTTCCAGGTCTCTCACCAACAAGGTCTATTGGTGCTTCATCTGAAATGTCACGGCGACGTCATAGTGATAATAATAATAATAATAATAGTGGTTTTAGAGATAATCAAGAATCACGACTTCGTCGTGCACGGGCTGAGATAGCAAAAACTGACTGGTCATTAGATGCTGATGCTGATGGATATATTATTGTAAACCCAAATGTTAATGTACAGGAAGGGAGAAATTACGTACATACACTTCCTTCTGTACGACAGGCAGACCGTTTTGCAATTGTACGACTACGTGACTATTTAGAGCGTCATGGAAAACGATTAGAGGTTGCTGTAATAACCACAAAAGTGGAAACCGATGAAGGTTTGAAACGGTGGATAAAAAAAGTTACCTTGCCTCTACCTGAAGTGTTTGGTCATATTATTGCACATGGAGAGGCTTATACAGAAGAAGAGGCATTAGTGATGTGTGCCGTTCACGCTGAACTTCTTCTTGATGAGATTGGTGCACCTCTTTACGACCTTGATGCTTTGCAGGAGAAACACTCGGATGCGGCTGCGATGCTTGGTAGATGGGCACCATCCAAGGCAGGAAAAGTACGTAGGGATGTACGTTTACCACCACCAGTACGAAAGGAACATGAGAAATCATGTTTGTGGGGGAGATTATCTATGCAGACAATGCGGAAACGTAATGTTTCTACAACTGAAGGGAGTGAAACAGGTATAGTTACTGGAATACGTTCACATGAAAAAGATGTTACAGTAAAACATGAAGGAGGGATACCAACAACAAGACCAAAATCAACATCATCATTATTATCAACAACAGCAGCAACAGTAGGAGGAAGAACAACAGGGAAAAATGAATCATTATTATCATCTTTGACTGAGAGAAAAATTGAATCAGGGAAAAAAATATTAACAACAACAACAACAACAACAACTGAAAGATTAACTGAATCAAATCCTACTCCTGCTATGGGAGGAAAGGTAACGGATGATGTACTTTGTGACTTGGATAGTCTAGATTCAGTTCACCCTAATGATTTTTTCCGTCATGCTCCACGACTCTTGGATACTTATTGTAAACGAAAGGGAGTGGATATTAATCGTTCTATGCGGCAGTATAGTGTTAAGATGTCTTCTTATGGATTTGTTCATCGAGCCGTCTTGGAACTTCCCGTTCCATCTCAGTTTGGTAGACGCCACGCTGTAGGTTGTGCCTTATCGAAGAAAGAAGCTTTTGGACTTTGTTGTATGCATGCTGTTACTGTTCTTGGTGCCTTGGGAATTCCTATTTACACCGGTGCCAAACAGGCAGAGTATGCGGCGATATCACGATCAAAGGGACGAGAAGCGCCAAGACCCGGTGATCCTCTTCAACCAGGTGATACCAAATCCCCACCAGGATTAAAAAGTTTACCTGATGTTTATATGGAGAAACCTCGTCCACCGAATCCACCAAGTTTAGCTGAGTGCCGTAAACCTTTTATTTGGACTAGTTATGTAACGGCATCTCGTAACTATATTGAAAAAGCGAGAGGTCAAGTTATCTTTGATGCACTTTTTTCACAAAAGAAAGCCCCACGTAGTGGAATAGATGTGGAAGATAAGGCACTGGACGTGGTGGAGTCCATGCCTCTTTTAACAAATGTGAGATCTAAACTTCCACAAAAGTGTGCAGCGGCCCGTTTACCATCACCACCACCACCGCCGCATTCTTTTCGGTTTGAACCGTACGGTCTTCCTCCAGAGCGGCGTTATTTGGTGGAGCAACCAATACTTGGCACTCCCTTTATTGCCCGTGGAATGGGAGAAGAAGGACAGGAGGCCGTTACCCGAGCCGCAATGCACTATGAATATATTGTGGGAATTATTGGCAATGCACAACATTCACAGGGAGATACACGGCAAATATTACAACAGAGATGTGGGGATCTTTTTGATGCTGAACTTCGTGATTTTTCACTACGTGGAAAGTTATCCATTATGGCTCTCTACACTACATTGCGTGCCCCTTTCGCACCATTGCGTTTAACATTAAAAGAACGTAGTGGGAATGCTGGAACTCCATCTGTGTTTATTTCACTTGTTGAAATGGAAGATGAGAGTGGACTGCGTATGGCAGGAAAAGGAGAGGATTGTACAAATATTGAAGGAGCAAGGAATAGAGCTATTGCAGAACTTTTTAAACAATTACAACGTAAATCAGCATTTCAATCCGTAGCTCAAATGGTACGTTCTCATCCAACTATATGTGCTGAAGGTGCTTCTTGTCTTGTGGCAGAAGGAAAAATAATATCAACTTTACGTTCTATTTTAGAGAAACAAAAGAAACAACTTCTTCTTTTACATTATCCATCTATGGATACTATCGGTTGGGGTAATAGGGTATCTCAGGAGTTGTGTGGTGGTGAATCGCATTTGGAATCTCTAGAGTTACGACTACTTTTTGATGTTGTAAAAAATGCACTTGGATCTACGATGAAACCGCTTCCATTAACAATTCCTGCAGCATCTCGACATTTATTAACTCGAATGGGTCTCATATTTACAAATGAATCTGAAAAGGAATTTCATAATGGTACGGAGGTAAAAACAATTGGAGTAGCAGTAGCCTTATTTGCAACGTGTTTACCTCCATTATTTCTCCAAGAAGAGAGATTAGATACATCTACTATAAGGAGTGCATTGCCAATGCAGTTGGCTAAACTCCTTTTTTCTGGATGTTTAATGAATTGTCAAAATCTTTGTATTCGTGTGGTTGCTTTAGTATTATATTTGCAGTGTGTGGATGTTAATCATTACAATGGTGAGAAAAGTGGTGATGTATTGGAACTTTTAAAACATGAACTTCCAGACGGAGCGAAAAAAATTGCTACTATTATTGCATCACGATTACAGAAACTTACTTGTAACTTAAAAAGAAAATATAATGATAAGGACAAGGATGCATTACTTTTGAATTCTCTTATTGCAAGTATGGAATCATCTAATCCTTCTGTAAATAAAGATGTGTGGGGTTCTCTACCAGAGGGATTAACAGTAAGAGAAGAAGCAAGATTACGTTTCTCCATATCATTCGCTACTTTCCCACAAGTATTCATACAGAGAAAGGCTGCAACTGATAATATACTTCGAATGATAACATTAGAGTCTAAAGATCGACAACAAACGGTACGTGTTGGGGTACCATCATCATTAGTTGAATCTACTGGCTCTTCTTCCTCTTCTTCCTCTTCTTCTTCTGATACAGTTTCTTTTTGCTGTTACAGTTCTTTCCCTTGTTTTTCTGCATTTGATAAGATAAATAAACATCGCACATCCACTTTAAATAATTCTTCTACTGTTTCTGAGGAACTGTCTATTTTGGGAACATTTATATCCCCTTCTGGTGTATTGTTAAGCAGTATATTTTGTGATGAGTCTCATATGATGAGTATTACAGATGATGTTTCTAATATGGCATTGGTGAATAGTTTTATACCTGTGGTCTTACGCACATCTGATTCCCTTAATGCCGTTGTTGAATTATCTCAAGTGTTGAAAATGCATTGGAGTTTACTAAAGTCTCTTCCAGAAGATGTGCAAAATGTCATGGATGATCTTTTGGTGAGTAAACACTCCTTAAAGAATGTTGTGCAGGCGGCACTACTGGAGTGAAAGATATAAATAAAATAAAATAAAATAAAAAAGAAACGAAGTGAGAATGGAAATGGTGGAGAAAATAGTTTCTAGGCGACTGTTTGACTGTGTGATTGTGTGTGAGAGGGGGTGTTTATCTTTGTATCTTTTCTTAAAGCGATACAAGTGAAAAGAGAAGGGATGAGAAGGAGAAAAGGAAGAAAATGAGAGAGAGAGAGAAAAACATATTCCACCAGCTGGTATCTCTTTTTCTCTGTGAGTCGTCCTCGGTTTTTTTTTTTTTTATTGTCCCCACCCCTTTTTGTTTTGTTGTCTATTTATTTTTTTTTAATGTTTTTTTTTTTTTTTTTTCTTAATTGCATAATGAAACATCTCTTTCTTTCTTTTTCTTTTTCTTCTTCTTTGAAAAACTTCCATGTTAATGTATGCATAAAGGAAGGGAACCTGGAGAATAAGGTAGAATACACACACATATATATATATATATATATAGAGAGAGAGAGAGAGAGAGAAAGAAAGAAAAAAAAAGGAATATTATTATCTGATAAAAAAAAAAAAAAAAATCTTCGGAGTAGCTTGAGAGAGGTTCAGAATCTATGCCTATTCCTCTGGGTGCGTCACTTAGTGATCCCTACTTTGTTTTTGCACAGATTCTACACACTGTTAGTTCGTTTTGTCTCGTGTTGGGTGGAGTACGTGTAGTGCTTGGTCTTATTTCAATAATAATCTTTGGTAGTGGTAGTAATAATAGTGGTAATAATGGTAGTAATAATAATACTGCTTCTGTTTCCTTAGCCACCTCATTGGGGTATTGTTTTCATATCCCACTGCGATCTCTTTTTGCTGTTAGAGTTGCAGATGCCTCTGATGGTTCCGCCTCTCGTTTTTTTCTTATGCATATCATCACAGCTCTTATTATGTCGTGGCCACTTGCTTTAACGATTCAACGCCGTAAGTTTGCGCTGGACTTTACCTTCACATTGTATGTTATTTACTTTTTCATGTGTTGCTGTGTGGAGCGACGTTTAACTGGTGGTGGAGTTTCGTGGTGGTTGTCGGTACTTGCCGGGTTTGGTATTCTTTACAGTGCCACTACGGTGGTGTGTAAACGGCGGGAGTTGGCGGATATCTTCTTTCCACTTTCCACCAATGCTGGGAATAATAATAATAATAATAATAATAATAATAATAATAATAATAATAATAATAATAATAATAACACTGGTGGGAATATGGCGACTGTTGGGAGTGGTGTGAGTATGGATACCGGGATGGGGTTGAGTGGGGCTGTTGACACGATAGGCACTGAGGCGGATGGGCGGTCCTTTGCAAATGGATGTAGTTCACCATCACACGCGATAGAGGCAGTGTTGATGGGACCAGGTAGTGCTAGTAAGCGGAGACGTTAAGTCTGCTGAAGGTTTTTTTTTTTTATTGTTTTTTTGTTGTCGTGGTTGTTGTTTTCGTAGTTTTGTTTCTTTTTTTTTTTTTGAAAATGAGTGTGGTCAAATGTTCTTATATTGCTACTGTTACCACGAGGTTTTTTTTTTTTTCCTTTTTTTTTCCTTATATTCTTATCTCACAAATGCGCATCTATATATATATATATATATATACGTGTATACATCTTTATATATTGTAAAACCACATGTACTTGTCATTTCCTTTTTTTTTTTCTGAATCTATTTATTCCATTTAATAGGCACAGGCACATTATATATATATATATATATATAGTGAAAGAAACAAAGACAGAAAACGGACCTATAGGAAGTTAATTTCACATTCATTTTCTTTATTATTATTATTATTATTATTATTATTATTATTATTATTATTATTATTATTATTTCCTTATCTCTCTTTTTCTTTTTTTTTTCTCACCGTGGACCCATGTCCCATTTTCTGCTGTATCTTATTGCAGCTCTTCTTACCGCAGTGACTACTCCGTCATTGTTTGTAGATGCCTTCTATATCCCTGGTGTGCAGCCTACATACTATGAAGAGGGTGAAGATGTCCATTTTACAGTGAACTCCCTTCGCTCATTACGTGAATTGTTCCCACAGGAGTACTATAAATTACCCTTCTGTGCACCCCCAGTTATAACAACAAAGGTAGAGGCCATTGGAGAAGTTATTTGGGGTGATCGTATGCAAAATTCTCTTTACACTGTAAAGATGAAACAAAACACAAATTGTATGAAATTGCCAGGTTGTGATGTGGTGAAGAATAATGCTAAAATCAAGAAGAATATTGGTCAACTTGAAAACTATATTGAACAAGGTTATCGTGGATTTATGAGTATTGATAACCTCCCCGTGTTTGGGGAAATTCACCCTGTATTTCTGGCTCATTGTAAAGCTTATAAAAAAGATATGCAGTATGGACATTATCGCGGTTATTCTCTTGGTGTATCCCGTGCATGTACAGGAAAAACAATTATCAACAATCATTTACATTTTGTTATCAGTTATAATACTGCACCAGGAAATGATAAGAAATTTATGGTTGTGGGATTAAATGCTACTCCATACAGTATTAAACACGACAGTGATGGTAACAGTTGTAATGAGGCTTTAGATTTACAACATTATACTATGGATGTTCTTACTACAGATGATGTTCGTAATAATAAAGCTACTGTTTATTGGACATACAGTGTTCAATGGGAACCTTCAGATGTTCTTTGGGCTACACGTTGGGATGCTTATCTTCATAGTTCATTGGCTGATTCCAGTGCGGCTTTTCATTGGCTTTATGTATGCAGCAGTCTTGTTATTGTCATGTTGTGTGCTGCATCTGTTATCACTATATTAATGCGAGCTCTTCATAAAGACTTTAACCGCTACAATTCTCCAGATCCTGAAGAAAATCAAGAAGAGACTGGGTGGAAACTTGTTCACGCTGATGTATTTCGAGTTCCCCACAGGGCACCTTTATTGGCTTCTTTAACAGGAAATGGATATCAAGTATTATCCATGTTTACAGGTGTATTGTTCTTTGCATTACTTGGATTTCTTTCACCCGCACGACGTGGATCTCTTTTAACTGCCGTTATTCTTCTTTTTGTTTTCATGTCTGTTGTGGCTGGATATGTATGTGGATATCTACTAAAGTATTTTAATCGACGGGAGTGGAGACATGTATTCTTCTGTGGATGTGCATTCCCTGGCGTTATTTTTGCTATTTACAGTTTTGCCAATATTGTGAATTGGGCACATGGATCTTCCGATGCGGTTCCATTTTCTCTTCTGCTCACGATGCTTTCGCTTTGGCTTCTCATCAGTTTACCCTTAACGGTGGTGGGGGCCTCCTTTGCGTTTCGACAGGACCCGCTGGAGAATCCGGTGGGAGTGGGTCGATTGGCGCGGGAGATTCCCCCACAGTCGTGGATGAATAGTCCCACTTTTTTATATATATTCCCTGCTGTTTTTCCGTTATGTACGATTATATTAGAATTTAATTTTGTATTGCAGGCATTATGGGCAGGTCAGGTGTATTATGTGTTTGGATTTCTTGCATTGGTGTTTGTGATTTGGATTGCCATTACTTCACTGGTGACGGTTTTTCATCTTTATTATATTCTCTGTTATGAAAATCATCAATGGTGGTGGAGCAGTTTTATTATGCCTGGAGGATTTGGAATACATGTGATGCTGTACTGTATTTATTTCTATATCACGCAATTATCTATTCGTTCCTTTGCCTCTTCACTCTTGTACTTTCTGTATATGGGTCTCTTTTCATATTCGTATGGAATAGCCTCAGGAGCCATTGGGTTGACATCTGGTATTTGGTTTGTGCGAAAGATATACGGTAGTATCAAGGTGGATTAATCGCCAGAAAGAAAAAGAAAGAAGAAAAAGAAAGAAAGAAAGAAAGAAGAAGAAAAAAAAAGAAAAGCACATAGCTGAAGGATATATATATATATATATATATTCCTAGAAAGAATGAGAGAGAGAAAGTCGTGTGAAATAAGAAAAAAAAAAAAAAGCAAGAGAAAGAAGAGAAGGGAGAACGCGGCCCTTTGTGTAAGGGACCATATTTCCTTGGAGCGGTCTAGGAAGCGAAAAGTGGGAGAAGGAAGAAAATAAAAAATAAAAAATAGAAAGAAGCAAAATAAACAAAGAACACAAAAAACAAAACAAAAAAAGTGGGGGGAGTCTGCGATGTACACAAAGTGTAAATGATGAGATCAGTACTAGCACATATGCCGGAGGAGGAGGAGGAGGTGGATGGAATAGAAAGAGATATGGAATCAGTTTACATATATATATATATATATATATATATATATATAATGTAAACTAATAAAGAATAGGGAAAATAGAATGATTAGGAGAGAGCTAAATCTGACGCATTGAGAGAGGAGTCAAGTCAATTGAAATGATGATGAGAGAACGAAGGTGAAAATGAAATAGAATACAAACGAAGAAAGAAAGAAAGAAAAGAAAAACACACATATACTCTCTCTTTCTTTCTCTCTCCCCTTCCCTTCGTGTTGTGCTGTGGAGGGTTTGGGAACGGCCCTCTCTCCTCGTTTTTGGTTTCTCCCCCTTTTTTTTCTGTTTTTTCCCCTCCTCTTCTTTTTAATAATAACCAAAGTGATAATAATAATATTATTATTATTATTATTATTATTATTATTATTATTATTATTATTATTATTATTATTGTGCTGTGCTCGAATGTGACTAATAACATAATTACTGGCCCAATTCCCTATTTTGCTTTTCCTTCACTTCTTTGTTTTGATTTCGCTTTAGTTTTCTATGATGGTTCTTGTTCCTGGTTTCTCTTCTTCTGCATGCATGATTATTATTATTATGAATATTATTATTTAGTACTATTATTATTATTGTTATTATCATTACTAATTTTTGTAGTATTATTTTAGTATTGTTTGTTATTATTATTATTATTATTATTATTATTATTATTATTATTATTATTATTATTATTATTACTGTTTATGGACTGTGCAGTAGTTATTCATGTGTCTCTTTCTTTTCTTTTCTCTCTTTTCTTTATACTCTTTTCTTTCTTTTTTTTTTTATTTTATTATTTATTCTTCTCTGTTTTGAATATCAATAATAACAATAACGGAAGCATTCCTAAGAGTCAACAGGGAAAAACAAGTAGTGAAGGTGGTGCTAACATCAACAACAAATAATAACAACAACTAAGAGAGAAAAGAAGAAAAAAGGAAAGGAGTCAATACTTTTAACACTACACTCTTACGGGGAGTGTATTCTTTTTTTTTTCTTTTTTTTTTCTTTTTTTCTTTATTTCTTCTTTGGCCGCTGCGATTACTGTTGAGGCGAACCGAAGAGAACAAAGTTTGAGTTTCACGAATCGAGGATATATATATATATATATATATAAACTATTGCTTAACTGTTGGGTAAAGGAGAGAAAAAAAAAAATAATAATACAGCACAGGTGTGAGCAAGGCGTCTAATCAACAGGGAAACTCACATCTATTACATTCACAGTTGTATTTACCATCGTGGGAAAAAGAAAAGGGGATAGTAATAGTGGGAATAACACACACGTTTGTGTTAGTGACCTATTTTACTACCGTTATTATTTAGGCTTAATATTCATATTAACTTCACACACACTTATATATATATATATATATATACTACAGAGTACTATCAACCACTACTCTTTATATATTATTTCCTGCACATCGTTATATACATTTATTATTTATATATTTATAAATTTATTTATATATATATATGTTAGAAGTAATGCGACCGTATCGCAGAGTTGTAGATTCATTCACACACAGCAGTACTCCAGTCCAACGCACAAAGCGATCATTCAGTTCCACACCCCCACATAATAAGAAGGCAGTGAATACCAGTAATATTGCTACTACTACTACTTCTACTACTACGAATATTAATAATAATATTAATAATAATAATTCGAATACTCCTAATAAAAATACGAGGGTTTTTGCTAACTCTCCGTGGAGGGTGGCTATTCCACCAAAGGGTATTTTGAAAAGAACATCAGCGGGCCGTTCCTCATCAATTGAGTCCGCCGGATTAACGGAGGGTCATTGCAGACATGTACACTTTGAGGATAGTTGTATGTTGAATGATAACAGTAACTCCGGTATATTAACAGTGAGTAATGATATTATTTCCAGTAATGATGATCTCTCTCTCTCAAGGACGACGACAGTAGTGATGGGAATAAGAGAATCAGGAGATGTGCCAACAGCAGCTTTGATGAGAAAAGTGGGATCCTCAACGGTGTGGGGGGAGGATTCATCGTGGTTTAATGAACAGTTTTCTCTGGAAACGACTCCACGTAAGGAAAAGGAAAACCACAATAATAATAATAATAACAAGAGTAAAAACAAAAGTATATACAATGGAAATCGTAGTCCAGGAACACCACGAAAAACAAAAACAGGTGTTGTTGCTACTACCCATACCAACCACATGGATGCCACCGCTAGTAATGACGATAATAATTATGAAAAGAAAAATAATATCAACAGGAATAACACTCATACGAAAACCCGCAAGAGTAGTACTATTACCAGTGAAAAGGGTAACTACAAAAATCCCAATGGGAAGAAAAAACGTAATTATAACCCCACCACCACCACCAGCAGCAGTAATACTATTAATAATAATAATACTCGAGGTGATAAAATGAATACAAGACTTCCGACTAACCTTTCTCAATTAAGAGATGATTTATTAAGCCCCGCACGAATAATGACGCCTCGCTCGAGTATATTAGTTTCCAATGTAACCTCTGATATGTGTGAAGGGTCCACAGAAGATGCGGCGTTGCCTCTTTCTTCTTCTTCCCCTTCCTCCTCCTCCTCTCCTCCTCATCTTTCTACTTCTACTTCTCCTTCTACCATTCATGCGAATACTCCCCCATCACCTCCGCCCGGTAATATATATGAAAGGGGTATACCACCACATATTTCTCGATTTCGTGTGGTGACAACACGACGAGGAACGCCGGGGCGGGCCTCTAGTGAAGCCGGTCTGTGCAAAGTGGATAAATCAACAGATGCTCTTTTCTCAACAACAACAACAACAACAACAACGGCTTCGGCTGCGGCTGCTGCAACCCCACGGAAAATGTCGTTAATGCTCCGCTGGCGGCCAGGTACACCGCGTGTACCCCACAATAATAATAATAATAATAATAATAATAATAATAATAATATGATGATGCGGTGTGGGGGAGAGTCAAAAGTTGGTTGACGGGTACAGCCGTTAAATGAGGGCACGGAGTCGCTTTCATTGCCTCTACAAAGTAAAAAAAAAAAGTAAAAAAAGTAAAAAAAGTAAAGAGTATATATATATAAGTGTATATATAAGAAAAAAAGTGTATTTGGAAAAGGGTTAATTTACCATTCGTGAAAGTCAGTGAAGAATTGCTTGGAACCATCCCCTTATTTTTCCCCTTTTTCCCCCATTAATAATCATAATAATAATTTCTCTAACCCATCTATTATTATTATGATTATAATTATTATTATAAATATTTTATTTTTCTCGTTTTTTTTTTTT